GGTGAATTTAGCGTTGTTCTAACTAAAGGCAAGGTGCAAGGGTTTTTTTAAGAAGTGTTAATCATAGAATAATTGGGTATTAATGTTAGGAGATCTATTATTTGATTTTATAAGGAATAAAAGTAAATATCTTCATATTTTCTATTAAGTCATAAAAGCAGGCATATTTCTTAAAATTCCTCTCATTAAGTTAGCTATATTTAATATTAATAAATTCATAAAATAAACTATAAACTCACCAACCTGTCCAGAGCACTTCCATAGGCCTCTCCGAGGGAAAACCTGCCAAGTGATAACGAGACGGATACCAAATCATGCGAAAAGCCATATTAATGCAATAAAAATCGGTTACCCCAGTGAGTGGCGATAGAAGGAGGGCCATAAATAACCTGCCCCACTGAATGCAAACTGAGGCTGTGAGCCGGCAGCCAAAAACAACAACAAGAACGTGTTGGGGCGGGGCGGGGAAATGTGCAAATGAAAATCATTTCAGTTGCCGGCATTATCATACCCATGATGATGAACTTCATCATGGCCTGCCTCATCAGACTTTTGTCGTAGCACCGTGTTTATTGCTGGCGGCTTTCCGGTCCCCGGTACTTACGCCCCCCCTTGGAGCACGACCCCCCCTGGAAGCTCTGTTAACCCACGAACTGGGCATTTCTGTAGCTATCTGTCTGGCAGTCAGTCATTCTGGGCAATTGTTTCATTCATGGGCCCGCCAAAAAGGCAGAAGGCGTTTATCATCCCAGACGAGTCTCCCTCTCTATCGCTCCGCATCTATGCCTCTCTTTCGCTGCGTAGGCAGTTCGGTGTGTGTGTGTGTTGGTGGGTGTGTGTGTGAGCAAAACAAACCATAAATGTGCGTGGCAAGCAGAAGACGAAGACGACGAAGACGGAAAGCAAAAGAAAAAGCTAAAGTCTATAAGCAAAAACACAAAGTTTTTGTCAAAGGGTCGACCTACCACCAACACCACCACCCCTCCGCCCCTTCTACCCACCCTCGGCCATAAGTCAATGTCAATGGCACGCACACACTCATAGCTATTTGGGGAACTTTGCTTTTCGGGGCCATCCATGTTGACTCTTTCGACGGGGCTACCACGTCTCCATGTTTAATAAGACCTTGACATGCGACAGTGTTTGGTTGACAAACGAAAAACGGCCAGAAAATTTGTTATTTGGTGTTTATGGCGGTGTTAACCACTCACAGCTAGCGGCACGAGATCTGCAAAAAAAAGCAAAATATAGATGAAGATACTTTAGAATCTTTAGAATTGTTCGGAAACTGGTTTGCAAACTGCAAGCTGCGGGTCACTCACACAGACACACAGATACAGATACACCTTCACGGCCGCAGATACAAATGCAGCGGTAAAAGATACAAATGCAAACCAGTTTCACGCTGCGCCCTAACGGTGAACCAAAGCCAGAAAAGCTTCCTCTTCACAATTTGTTTTCTCAAAAACAAAAATACAAACGTGAAATAAAATTAATTTGAACGGCACACACAAACTTAAGAGGCACACTATTGCACACAGTACAGATATCTAGAACCATTCACTAACGAAGTTGCAGTTTTATTTTTAGCTGATGACTTTTTTTGCGGTTGTTTGCTTTCCAACGTTTTGCGTTCATTTGAAGCCGTTGCCCAGCGATTTCTTGCACGCCGCTCGCTCGCTGGTCCGGCGACGGCGACGCCAACTGCTACGCCGACAGCGACGCAGCTGGCAGCGGTATCTGTGTCTGTGCGTATCTCACAGATATCCGGCCTCCATGCGGCCGGAGTATCTGTGTGAGCGCACGTACATCGTATCTGTGAGGGCCATTCTGTCGGTGTATAGGTGTGCCGTTCATGCGCAACTCTCCTGCCGCTTACACGGTAAGCTGGTGTGTGTGTGTGTGTGTGTGCGGCACACGCACGTGCGCCCAAAATTTCCCTGCGGCACTCACACAACCACACACCCCGGCTCTAACCTCTTTGGTACTTTTTTTGCGGCAAGCCAGTTAACTGGCCCAGAATCGAATTTGGGATATTTCAAAGCATATCTCTAACGAAATATCCCAACCACGTGCTGGCTGCTCGGTGGCATTGCTTTTGTTTTGTTTCTGTGCTTTTTTCGCTGCAAACTCTGGTCGGTTTTTCGAAAACGGGGGAGCTTTTTTCGCCGACTCTTAGCTTTTGTTGGGTGCGTACGGTTCGGTATATAACCCCGCCCACGCTGCTACACGGCTCTACGCCGGGCTCTACGGGTATTCAATCCATTTATGAGGCACTTTCGGCCCATCTCGAGTCGAAGCCGAGTTGCTGTTGTTGCAATTAACGACCATTTGAATTATATTTGCGCTCGTAAAGTTTACAAGAACAGTTTGCTGGGTCGGGCCGCTCATCTTCTGGTGCCCCAAAAAAAATATTCGACATCCAGTCTCCGACTTTGACTCTGTCTCTGGACCGGGCAGCCTTTTTCTCATTTTGCCCCATTCATTTTGGCCGTAGACAGCAGAAATTTTTACGACTTTTCTGCACAATGCGCAAATACAACGACAATGGACCATCCGACCCTAGACCTCCTCCTCCCAACTGGGCCGCCCCCTCCTCCTCACCTTGGCATTCCACTGTGACTTGAAACGGGATTGGGGCTGGGGATTTTATTGTTGGTTTTCTCATTTAATAAATCGTTTGTTGATAATAAATTCTGGCCTCGACTTGTATTAAAAAATTCTCCTCCTAATAGTTCCGCCAGCAACCCCAAGCTGCTAGAATCTATTAGTATAATTACAAATATTAAACTCAAGTTGGCTTTAACAGATCGTCAATCATTCGGATGGACGTGTTAATGATTTTCAAAAGATTTAGCATGCAATTATTTATTTTCCAACAAAATGACGCTTAAACTAAGCTGAGAACTTTATTTAAAGTCTGTAATTAAAAAAGTCAACATTGAGTTATAGGTGGAACTATAATAAGCCCTCAATTTTAGGGTTAAAATCAAGTAATAATCCATCTGGAGTGCTTTGTTTGTTAAAGCTATAGAATTGAAGAACTACAATCCTGGCAAAGCAAGATAATGCAGAAAGTATTTGCTTAGCATTCCGAGGAACTGCAATATGGATTTTTCAGATAATTGTTGGCACGGCATGTTCGACGTTCACCCCTCGGTAGATAATTAACAACCCTTAGCCCGCTCCGCCGTTGCACCCTTACGTCCCTGTCGCTGTATGTGTGTGTGAGTCTGTGTTGGTTGGCATGGATGCGCTTACCCCTAATTGCAATGCCATAAAAAAGTGCAATTCAAGCGAAGGACAACCACCGAAAGAAGTTGGTAAATGCTAGGAAGAGACGAGAGAGGAGAAGGCTCTTGGCATTGTGCCATTACATTGCAACCATGATTACGATTAGAACGGGCATTGTCTTGCAACAAGCAAGCGTTGCTGCAAGGACCCAGGACCCAAATAGACAATCATGGCTGGGTTCTGGTGGCTGGACAGGGGATCAAATTATGCGAAACTGCATTTTCACTTTTCGCATCGCCAAGCCACAGCACCATTGGCACCATACGGCTGCCAACTGGCAGCTGCTCCGGATGCGGCAGTAAGTGTCCTTGCCTCGGGCGAGTGCACAGGATAAAGACAAAGCCCCAGCCCCTCGAGAGACCATCAACTGCTGCATGCAAATTCCATCGTTGTTCGTTGTTTGGGGATATCGAAAATCTTGAAAAGTGCAGCCAATCAACTGGAAATGGCCAGGCGACGAGTTAAGTGCACCGCCACAGCCCCGACCATTGCCATTGATAACAGATACTGCAGCAGCAGCCACTTCAGATACTGCGGCAGCAACATCAGTTGCAACGGTTATACCAGCCATAGCAGCAACCTCAGGCGGTACAACAGCAATATCTGGCCGAGCAGCAACATCAGCAATCGCGACGGCAAACACGGCTGATAGGTGATAAGGCGGTGCGAGCGGACCGCCGGTGCCTTCCTCCGACTGTCGGCGATTTCGCCAGCAGCGGCCCGACCGCGCATTTTGGGGGGCGCGTGGGCGTGGGCGTGGCAGTGTGACTAGTGTGCGCCCTGTTGCGCACATGGCCCCAGGCAGTGTCCGCTCTGCTCGCACCCAGCACTGGTGACCGCTGGTGCAAGCGAGAGGCAACGAGGTGGGGCCAAAATGGCGGCCATTTTGGTGGGAGCGAGAAGGCAATGTAGGCAGCGGGTGCTGAGCAGCGCAGCGCAGGCGTCAGCAGCAACTGCGACGGCGGCGACGACGACGACAGCAACTGCAGCGCAGCAGCGGTCCGGCGTTGGAGACTTTCACGGGATGTGTGATGGAATCTTGGAGCTGCGGAGCTCCAGGGAAAGGAAAAAGCGGTCGCCGGGGAGAACTTGTTTGCCTTTTGAGCGAAAATGCCTCGAGTGAAAACTCGTGAAGGCTCCCGGAGGAAACACCAACCATACTCGGACGGAATTGATTTTCCAAAAACTCAACGTTGAAGCTTTTTGTTATTTAAGTGGAATTTTGCCGAGAGAATGAAACCCAATTTTAACCCGGGAACTGTCGTTTTGCACACCTGACGACCTGCCAAATGGCAGCTGGCTTGGCCAAATTGGGTTCAATTAGTTGCCACCAAATGGGGGCTGGCTCTGAGCCGGAAAATATGAAATTTTCATTTGAAAAGCACAAATTTTAAATTATTTCAGGGTGACTTTGCTTGAGCGGAACGAAATATTAAAGGTTGTGTACTAAACAGAAAACAGGGATTACTTTTAATGAAAAATAAAGGAAAATTTTCTATAAATATTAAGAGTCTTTAAAATAAATGGTATTTAGGAATTCGAATGATTTCACATTTGATAGCCAAACTCATTTAAATATTTTTATATTTCCGCTTGAGATCGGATGAACCAATTAATTTAAATCATTTTTACCAAATTCTCAAAAACCAATTATTTTTATTCGAAAACAAACTAAATAGAGCCCCTGGCCTCTCCTCTCGTTTCAGGTCTGTGTCTTCGCGTGTGTGGTGTGTTTTTATAACATTTGTGGATTACGCCTATAAAAACTACACCTCCCCGCGGAGCCAGCCGAGCTGCTGCTCCAGCCAACTCCGGCCACTACAAAAGGGTAGGTATACGAATTTAAATATTCGCCTTTTATTGCCGCTAATATTAATATGAATCTGAGCTGGGCGGGAGATTAAATCAAAGGCGCATAAATCAGGCAGCATTTTAAATAAATTCGGTTTATGGGCGCGCCAAGCCACCGGAGTCGTAAACGTCTTTTGTCTAAGCTGGAATCTGGCAGAAAACCTAATTGCATAATGATTTAATCCCAACAGGCGACTCCGGCGCATGAATCGATCATAATTTTTCTCGGACATCCATTAAATTTCTCGCATAATCGCTTTAAAAAGACATTAACATGGCCATAAGCTCCAACCGACGGCTTTCCATTTCACCGAAAAACAAAAAACACCAAGCCAAGAAACTCGAGTGCTCAGAGTTTGGCTTTTAAACTCTGCTTCGGCGACCATTAAATGGGGAATGGTTCACAAAAATGTGAATAAAAGTTTATGAGGCATGGCTTTGTTTTCGCTTTTGTTGGTCGCGACTTTATGATTTAATTTGGCAACTGCTATTCTATGTTTGGTCGTCACTGGCTGGATGGCACCTCCAATGACCTTATAAATATGATTGGCGGTGACCAATGCACTGGCGAACAGAAATTGCACGATTTGTGCAGTTTTCGTTGCGATTCGATTATGGATGAGGCCATAAAGTGTATTCGTTATTGCCATTAGTCGCTCGTAAATTGGCTAACGAATGTGTCGTCTCCCCGCCCTGTCCCTGCTCGGTCCTGACCCACCTGCCCCCGTACACCTTGCCGCCAAAAGATGGCAAGTTCAGGCCCGTCATTGGCGGAGAGCCTTCACTCGCACATCCAGCCATCAGAATCCACATCCGAGCTTAAAGACACTGACAAAGACGTTATTCCAGTTTTTAATCTGCTCAATTGCCCGGGCAGCGGGGGGCGGACCAGGAGGCAGCGATATCGTCATTGGATTTGCCATCGGATTCGGATTCAGATTCCAATTCAGACGCGGAATGGTTGTGCGAAGGCGAGGTAATTAATATATTGCATTAAATTCTCGTAATCACACATTTTTATGGAGGATCCAAGACTCACAGAAGTGGGATTAGGGCGATGCACTTTGGGTTTAAAAAAATATGTTTTCTAGTCTTGTAGTGTCTAACAAATTCAAACTTAGCTCGAGATAAAAATCAGTTTCTTAAAATATTTTTAAATGTAAAGAAATATTTTTGAGTAACCCTACTCTCCTTTGATTAACTCCATTTATTAGCCGCACCTGTATTATACAAATGAGGCTCTGAAAGCCCCCTAAAAGCTTGTAATCCGATCGAATTACACTCAGTTTATTAAATAAATTACAAATGTTTATAATTATGAACTAAAAGCCTTCTCCTCCATAAACATTTTCGCCTGTCAGGTGCGAATCACGCGCTGCCCAAATCCAATCCATTTTCATTTTTATCAGGGGCTTTAATAATACTCTGAGTAAATCCAGAACCAGATTAAAGTATATAGACTGTCGGAGAGTCACTGAAAATCGCGGCCACAAATCGTAACCTGCAATGGAGGCTTATCATTAAGTGTACATAATGTGCTTTATTGTCACTTAAATACAGATTTAAATAATTTTATGACTTTATTTCATTTGTGGGCAGTGGCCACTGGCCGGCCAGTCGGCTTCGGGTCTATCTCTGCTGGATGTGGAATACAAAAGCAGCCATCTATATAAATAATAATAGCTCATTATAAGTAATCAATGACATTTGCACCCGCATATGAGCTCATTAAGCTTCGCAATTACAATAATATTATTCACTGGTGGACAGAGCAGAGTAATGATAATGGTTCTTAATGATGAAAAACAGCGGAAATTATTATTTTTGAGTTATTTATTCCTAGACACCAAAGGTAGGACATAAATGCTGAATACCAGGTAACTTATAAACTATCCTTGATCTCATTCAACTGGAGGATGGCTCTTAAATATACTTTAACTTAATTAAAACACTTGAGGAATATAAACTTATATTCCCCTGGGTGTCTTGCATAGTTCTCCTCCACTAACGCAGCGAACTAATTTGCGTTAATTGCCCTTCACAGCGCCAGTGCACAATGGAGCTTCAAGTGGTAATTGCAGGCATTTCCATTACAAAAGCATAACAATATCAATATGCCGGGCATTTGCATAAATTGTCCCCACCCAGCTGATGATCGCTGGAATGTCGGGCAAGTCAAATAAATTAGCGCACCGAGCCCCGGACTTGACTAGAAAATCGTTAGTCGAAGTGCGACAGAAATGGATAGTTAAATAAATCGAGCGATGTCAGCCCGACAAGAGTCAGGCTAACTGAAGGAGGAACTATAATCGGGCTTTTGGAGGATTTCGTTGAAGACTGGGGCCTTTGACTTGTGCTTGGACATGCAGTTTTTACACCAACAAAAATATTTTGTGATTAAAAATAAAACATAAATAATAAATAGTCTGAAAGTTATGGCATTTTATTTCTTTTTAAGTACCAGGTATCATATAGTAAATAATTCCTCAGTGCCCCCTTTTATTCCTCAGTGCATTGTGATATTCTCGAGTCTCGATTTTGATATGCAGAACAGTCACTCGCGTGACAGTCGTACTGCGGCATGTTGTCGTTGTGGTGCAGGGCGATGTGGTGCAGAGTGGCTCAGTGGCTCCGAGCGTGGGCGAGTTAGTTTGTTGGCATTTCGCACGCATCCCACATAAATTAGCGAGATTTATGGGCCAGAGACTTAGATTCGCTAGAAAATCGCTTTCAAACGGCGGCGGGGACATGGATATGATGTGGAATCGATACTAAATAATCCTCTTTGGCGACAAACTTCCTCTCTCGGAATGGCCCTGTATCCTCCTCCTATAATGTGTATTTTTTTTTTCGTCAGCCAAAGTCGGGGACACACCCAGAAAACTCTCTTGCGCCGTCTCTGTCCTTGTCTCTGGCTCATTATGCGCACTCGTTTTCGGAGTCGAAAAATCGATGGAATATGCAAAATATTGTTTGAGCTGCCATCGGGATCCGCCTAAGTCAACAGGGCGGTATGCTGAGTAACCCCCCGTCCCAGACAGCAAACTCTTTCGGACGGGAATGTAAATTTGAACAGCGCTTTCTTTGTTTTCTCTGTGTCGCAAAAGGGCCACCGCGCTTTTCAGTTTGTTATTCTAAAATGGAATTTGCTCTCCATATCGCCCAGCTCCCAAGTGCCCGAGCTGCCTAATGTAAGCTGTATCTGGCCGTATCTGTATCCGACAGATACCAGCACCCAAACCACTCAGTCTTTGGGGCTAGGCCCCTGCCTCGAGGCTCGATTTCAATTTCGGGTTTTCAATCGGGCCTCTAATGCTGCCCAAGGTGGTCAATGTTGTCCATTTTCGAGATTTTAATCGCTGGAATTTGTTTTAAGGCATCTAAATTTATGTGACAGCCCAAATTTTGAGTGTGACACTTTAGAAACATTTTTATGGTTTATTAAAAAGAAAAAAGTTCGATTCCCTCCTCTTCGGGCCAATCTCGTTTTTAAATTCAAAATGAAGAAACTAGTTTTTAATTAAAACTCTCAGACTCCCAGTTTCCAAAAGACTAGAGGCTAGAAAGGAGGACCTGGGACCTGGGAGGGAATGGAGAAATTTGGCAAGGCACTGGGCCAAGTGGGACTGCACTTGAGTCCCTTTTAGGCATTGCAGTGGGAAAATGGGGAAATCGATTGAAAGCCATAAAACAAAATGTTTATATTTCGAAAAGTCAAAAGTTAAATAGGAAATGGGAAAGATCATCAGACCGAAAGGCCCCGAGAACTGCAATTGGCTGCCTTTTCCGCCAGGGGGGACGCCCGTGAGTCTGGGGAGGGAGCTGCTCTCTCAGCACTTGGACTTAATTGAAATTTGAAATATGGTATTATGTGCGCGCAGTTCGGAAACAGTTCATAATGCCGAGCTCGAGCCAAGTTCGAGCACACGACTCTTGTGCTTGTTTATTGAAATGCTCGTAATTATCCAGTCGAGTGTAATGAGCAACTGGCTCAAGTGGAGGTGTACGTAGTATATCCCTCATCCCCCTAGGCCTCCAGCCCGGTTACAGCCCACTGCCAATGCCATATGCACTTGCCCATGAAGGCAACTCGTCCGCGGTGTTGGCCTGGCCATTGCGGTTATGGTAATGGAAGAACGCCGAATGCTCAGCCTAATCACCTGCAGATGTACTTCTCGATTGGATTATAATTGGACTGGCTATGCCTTCAGGAATCCAAGATATTTGAGTGGTTTCTCAGTTCTTTGGTTAACAAGATGTTATTAAGCAGAATCCTCGACTAATTTAAATTAAAATTCCTTCAAATAGAAAATCAATAATGGAATAGGTTTCTACTAACTCTACAGTCCCCCATTGTTCTCGACTTATTTATGGCGGCACTTCTATAAATAATTAAGAGTCTAGATCATCACCCCTTCGGATGGGGCATGTGACTGGCATGGCAATGGAAATGGCTCCTTTCGGAATAACTAATTAGGAAAACACATTTCCAGGGTCCGGACAAATGGCGAATGGAAAATGGCAGAAACGCTCGTTTTGCTGTGCTTTTCTCACCAAATGTCCGTCCGCAATTACTGGCCATTTACATAAGCCGTTCATTAAATTTGATGGCCCCTTCGCCCATTGTAAATAAAATGTCAACAAGCTCCACGCCGACGACACATTTGCGATTTAAATTAATAAGAATGCGAAAGCCCAAAAGTGTCTAAAAATGAGAAAAGGAGAAGGCGCCCCCACACAGATCGCCGCCAATTTCTATATTTAAGTGTCGAATTTTTTGACTTCTGTGACACCACAAACGATGAAAACAGAAAATCATGGCAGATGAGAGAGAGACCCCAGCCCCAGCCATGTGGAAGAATGCGATAACCTAACGGAATGGCGGAATATTTTAAAATAATTACGTGCTTTTTCGATCCCGGCGAGGAGCCACCTCGGCGAAATAAGTTTAATGTTAATTTGATTGCGTTTTTATTG